GGATGAAAAAAACAGAAACTATAAAAGGGGAAAGTCTCTTTTATTATTAGTATCCAGAGGCGACTTATTAACATGTTGATATACACTCAGCCATCTGCATCTATGGGTTTGGCATCCATGAATTCAACCAACCGAGGATTGAAAATATCAGAAAAACAAACAAAAAAAATTATACAACAATAAAATAATGCAAATTAAAAACAATATAATATAACAACTATTTACATAGCATTTACATTGTTTTAAGTATTATAATTAACCTAGAGACGATTTAAAGTGCACAGGTGAATGTGTGTAGGTTATACACAAATACTATATCATTTATTTCAGGAACATAGGCATCCATGAATTTTGATTTCCATAGGGGTCCTTTCAGCAATTCCCCTCTAAAATGGAGGGACAACTGTATATCTTTCTAGTGATATACAAATATGTTCTGAGAAATTTCCCATATCATTAAATATCCTTCTAAAATTTGAAAGTTTAAGTATTCACAGTATTCTCTCTCTAATTCCAAGGTTCTCTAGGCCTCAATAGTCGTGGGTAGCAATGGTTTCACCTTAACCATTATAAACCAAATTTTATGAGTTATTTTCTTTACCTGCATAATGTAGGACTTCAAATATCCACAACATATTTTCAATGTTTACAGGAATTGTGTTATTCATGATTATTAACATCATTCTACATAAATCATTGTGTACCTATTTATACATTTAGAGTTAATTCTCAGAATTTTTTTTACTACTTGGTCAGAGTATGAATATGTTTGATACTATTGTAACTTGCCTAATTGCCCCTTAGACTTTATTTTTAACAGCTTTCTTGTAATGGGATTTTCTAAAATCTGATATAAGAAGCTTTTCCATGTGTCTAAAATCTTTCTTGCACCAACTTAAATAAGCTATTTTTCTGAATGTTGTACAATGTTTCTTGAAGAATCTACATTTATTACAACAAATTGTATAGGCCATTCCCCCCCTACCCTGTGAGGTGAAAAAAATCACCTATGGGTACAATGTTCACTATTTGGGTAACGGATACACCAGAAGCCCAATTCCCACCAGTATGCATTATATCTATGTAACAAACATGCATATGTAACCCCTCAATCTAAAATAAAATAGAAATGTTTACAAATAATAATATTTCAATTGGTACATAATAATTTGCCACATCAATTTACTGTATAATACCAACATTTTTGTTTTATTTTTAATAATGATTTTATATTCTGTTTAAAGAAACTTTGCATCCATGAATGAAGATACTTTTTGTGGTATTATAGCTACTGAAGGAATGTTATTGAAGTCCCCGAAAGGGTAGAGATGGCTATTTACTACCTCTCAATGGGTATCTTCTCTGGGTGTAAGCTCCTGTTTTAATCTTCAATGTTCAAGGCAATGTTAATTCAATTTATGCTGCTGCACATTCAGAAAGTCAATTTATCAAGAATCTCTGATCTTGGGCAATAATTATGGTATACTCCCTAGAGTTACATGTCTTTCATTTGACTGCTTTTTTAAACTGGCAAATCTGTGTTTTTTTCTTTCTTGGATCTTCTTGTTTTATTTTATAAGTGTAAAACTGCAAGAGATTAAAGAGCCAGTATGCATAGTAACATCAATAAGTGCAAATTTTGAAGTGAAGATGTACAGGTTTTGTTTGAAAGACTGAACTTTACTGGATTAAATTGAAATACAGTTTGTTTCAATATGGCTGAGAAGAAATAAATAGTCTGAAGCTGGGTAGTTCATTGGTGGGAACACTATGCCAAATACTACTAATTTTAGTAATATTTGTCATTCAATTTCTTCAAGATCTAATAACTTATGTGTAAATAGAAATCATTCTAGTCTCCAGAGTTTCAAATACATATCATATTCCCTAACCTTAAGATGTCTCCTCTTTTCCAATCTACAGATTCAAACAGATGAGTCTAACAGGTGGCCCTTTATATAAATTGAAACATCAGCTATGTTAATATAGTTATTAGATTAAGTAGTATACATACTTAATTTACTTGCATTTCCCCAAATCTTTCCAGCCTCTGAACAAAAGGAGCAATGATATTCAAATTTCACTCACTCTTGCTTTCCTTTATGTCACTGTCTTACATGGACTTCTCTGAGTGAAGAAATACATGTTTAGGTGTTATTGTTGTTTCAATGGGCTTCCTAATTTCCTGCTGGGTCCTAGCACCATTCAGTTGGGTACTTATATAGTAGCACAACTGAGGCACTGAAAGTGCCACAGTATGCTGTAAAAAAGTCTATCCTTCTTCTTTTTATATTACCTTCTACTTTGTAACAGAATAATGTGAAGATTAACATCACATAATTCTCAATGGAGGAGATATGTTCTCTTTCTCCAGAATCAACTGGAGTCAATGACTTGGATGCACTCCATATCCCCTCAAGTGGACCGTTAAAAGTTTTAGACTGGGTCAGGGAAAGGAGTTTACAAGTTCATTTTGGCAAGATCAGAGGCAGACAGAGAATCAGGAGGCTCCTGCAATGGCCCAGGTTAGGGATTATGGTGCCTGAACTGGGATGTCAATAGTGAACATGGAGAAAAGTAGATGGATTTAAGACATGTTAAAGAGTTGGAAGCAAAAGAACTGGGGTGTGTGTGTGTGTGTGTGTGTGTGTGTGGTGCCTTGTACCAAGTGATGTGTTTGCCACTGAAAACATGCAGGGTAGCTAAACATGACTTCACTTTAGTTCCTTTCTAGACACAGGAGTTGATTCAATGCCTGCCCTGACATCTCCTTAATAGTGCCTATTTATCCCTGAGCATTTCTCAGGGAACTGTGTTTCACACCATTCCCCACCCCACCACTCACTTGTTCTCTATTTCCTTTTTCTTAGGCTAGACAAAGGCAGAAAAATCTCCCATTTGTGGCCAAAATAGTAGCAGTAATATAGCCGCTCTTCTTTTTTGCTTTGAGTGAAAGCCCAAGGAAGCCTTCGTTTTTCTCATGCAATCTGAAACTCTGAAAATGAGATATGAGCGGTTATTGTATTCTGAGATCCACTACTTTCCCAGCTCAAAAAGGTCTTATATGCAGTCAGTAATTATATATTATAGATAGAGGTCAGTCAGAGATAAGGCCATCCCTCTACTTATGTCATTTCTTTGCTCACACATATGAACATATGTTGTTAGATGCAGTCAGGTCACTTATTGGATGCTTTACTGCTTAGAAATTTCTTTCACCAGATACCCTAAATCATCACTCTTAAATTCAAGTTCCTCAGATCTCTAGGAAAGGGACACAATGCTGCCAGGTTCTTTGGTAACACATAACAAAAGTGACTATTGCTCCATTTCCCAGTGAGTTCCTCATCTCCATTTGATCCCTATCAGCCTTTATTTTAGTCCTTTAACCAGTCCCTAGGGAGTTCCAAATTTTCCCTCCTCTTCCTGTCTTCTTCTGAGCCCTCCGCAGTGTTCTAACCTCTGTCTGTGTCCTTTACCCAGTTCCAAAGTTGCTTCTACATTTTCAGGTAACTTTATAGCAATACCCCACTCCAATTTTTCAATATAGTACCAATGTTCTGATTAGTCCATTTATACTTTGGTATGAAGAAATTACAGAGACGGGTAATTTATAAGGAAGAGAAGCTGAATTGGCTCATGGTTCTACAGGCTGTGCAGGAAGCATGGCAGCATCTACTTCTTGGGAGGCCTCAGGGAGCTTTTACTCCTGGCAGAAGTAAAAGCAGGAGCAGGCATCTTACACAGCAGGAGCAGGACCAAGGGGGGATGCTACGCACTTCTAAGTAACTGGAGCTCATGAGAATTCACTCAGTATACAGCACCAAGGGTTAATGGTGCTAAACCATTTATGAGAAATCAACTCCTGTAATCTCATCACCTCCCACCAGGCCCCACCTCCCACACTGGGGATTACAACTCAACAGGAGATTTGGGTGGGGCACAGATACAAACCATATCACTGACTTCACCAATTTAGACTAATAAAGTAAGCAATGAATGTGGAGGTTTTGTTTTGATTTGTACTGAAGATCTAACAAGTGTCGGTTACTATGCTAGACTCCAGATTCGGAAGAGTGGCAGAAATTAATGTGATACAGTCTTTGCCCTTAAGGAGGTTACAGACAGCTGTGACTAAATAATTACATTATAATGTCATAAGTCCTATTTCACAGATATTTATTAGTGCCATGGGATCACAGAGGAGCAAATAACTAACTCTGCCTACATTAACGAACTAACGACGAGGGTTTAAGTAGAACAGGTGTTATTTTTCTGAGACCCAAAACAGAAACAGTAATTTAAAAGATTAACCAGTCTTTAAAGTCATAAATGCTTTGTGTGTGTACATACAAAAGTCATGCGTGTGTTGAATATTTCAGGAAATACATGCTGTATTGTATATTTTGGAGAGATAGTACCTGTTTTATTTAAGAAAATATTTTTAGTGTTTTTGTATTATTTATTTTTATTTATTTAACATAAAAGTGTTTATCACATTCACCCTATTCATTAAAAACAGTTCAGAATGTTTTTTTATTTGGCAAAACATCCTAACTACATTTCCTAAGTGTTGTTTTATAGATGTGTTGTTTTTAATACAAGTTAAAGTAAAGCCACTGTGTTTAAGTTGTTCTTTTGTAGACTTACCTCCCTTCACTCATTTGAGCTTGAGAAGGCAGAATACATCTAGATATATGAGTAACAAATGCAGCCAAGCTAATATATCTTAGTCAGTTCTAGGCTTTGAAGAAAACCAATTTTAACCTTGGAAATTAATTGGAAATGGGGAAACTCTGACAACAGGAAACCAGTAACCAAGGCCACTTAAATTGGGTTATAAATGGAATTTCAAATGAAAAATGCTTTAAGATTTGATGGAACTAAGCAATCTAGTGACTCTAGTTTCCTAGGAAGAAGTGTTAAACTTCCTGACTATGGAAGAATAGCATATCCTAAGGGAGATTATAATTAAAGCATAACAGATTGTATTTTTCTTTTTCAGAGGAATTACAAAGATCAAGATGAATTCAGTGAGGCTTCCCATAGGACTGTTCAAAGATCTCCAGGTAAAGAAAACTTTGTTTTGCAAACTGGGGGAAAGAGGAAATGGAATTAAATGAGAGTCCGCAGCACAAGTTAAGAATTTTAGAAAAGAGATAAAGGGAGCAGGAAAGTGAAATGAATTCATGCTCACAAAAGCAGTCAGAGATTAAAAAGGGGCACTGGTGATGGGAAGCCTTTATGATTATATCACAGAGAGATCAGAAACAGAATGGATTAGCTAATAAATTGGAGAAACTACAGTTAAAATGACTATTAAATATGTGCATTTTCTAGTATATATTTAACAATAACAATTCATTTATTTTCTAAGAGTTATTTGAGCAAGTTGGAACTAATGGATACTAGGCAGAAAAGTGAACATCCAGGAGCTAGTAATTAAATGAGATTAATTACATTAGGGAGTAGGAAACATCTAGGTTGGATTCTCATGTCCTTTGTGTGAGTTCTGTTTTTATCTCAATATAAAAAGCTCAGTTCTGTTCCTAGGCAGCTAAGCAAAGTAGGAGAGTAGCAGTGAAAATCAGATATAAGCATGTTTAGAAGTATGGTAAATTCAGTATGGTTATGTCACAAGATGGAGATTTTACAGCTATTTGAGAATTTAGTAGTTATGCATAAGATAATATAAAATAATCATTGAAAAAATGTGTTTGAAGGCATAATTAGTAGCTGGTCTCCAATAGGCTGTTAATAAATACTTCTGATGGATCAGATACTATTACCTCCCAAGTTACAGTACTTCAGGGAGAGCTAGTTGCATTAGACATACGTGTATCTCTCATGTATTTTGAAATAGCCCAAGGCATGGCAATAGAAAAGATAAAGTTGGGTGTTTTAAGTCTTCCTGATCCTCGTTCTTAGAATATTTCCAACCAAACTCATCATCCAAACTTTCCTAAACCTCTTCCATATCAAAATTTTATATATTCATGCCTAATCCTCTCAGATACTTACTCTCTGCTAGCCAACTAATCAACTAAACAAAACTACTGTGATCTAGTGATGATATATGCTTCTAGCTTACCTTACTCGAGAGTTAAGAATTTGAAAAAGCGTCTTCTTCTGGATATTTACGACCTCAAGTTAAGACAAAAATTTTATTCCGATAATAAGAATTCTAGAGAAATATGGCAGGGCATCAGGACAGATTATTTGGACAGGTGAAACTTTCAAGCATCTTTTTAATCATATTGCACAAACTCATTTTGTCTTTCAAACTAAAATTCATTGAGTATTTCATTATACTGTCTGCTATAATCTGTCTTATAGGTGTTTCACATGACTTAACTAGCTTAATTCTCTTAAAATAACTGATTTACTGATGGAGAAATGGAAACTCTAAGATTAACCTGCCTCATGTCACACAGTTGGTAAATTGCAGAGCTGGGATTCAGACTCATTTCTGTCTGGTTCCAGAGCTTTAGTTCTTAACCACTCTTCATAGTGCTTTTATATTGCATTAAGTTTTCGTGGAATGTTATAAGGAATGGGATAGGGCCAAAATATCTGAAAAATCTTTTATCCTAAATGTTGTCTATGTGTAGAAATATCAGTTAGGGAACTCCTGGGTTTTGGCTTTTCTGCATTCCCCCTTATTGTGCCTCTGACTCAGAAAAAGAAGAGTTAATTATCCAATTGGTAAATTTAAGAGAAAGAAATGGGCATACAGAACTCAATACGTTCTCCCTTCCTCTTTAAGCTCAGTCTTTCTTCAGAGACCATCCATTTTGCTAAGTTGCTTTGTGCCTTAAGTCTTTGAAGGCCAGGCTCTTCTAAAACAGAGAGAGGCCGGCAGCTTGCCACACACTGTCTATGATTGAAGCTCAGCATTAAGAATTCCACCTTTGACACACATATAATCCAAATTCTTAAATAATTTTATCAATAATAATGTTGTCATTTAGTTCTTCAGCTGCCTTCTCCTTTTTCAATCCCCAGTTGGTTCAGGATTCCGTAGTGCAAAAGGGGTGTCAATTACTGATCACTTCATATCACTAGAGTTAATTATGGTTAAGATTTAGAAATCATGTTTTTTAGTAGCAGAAAATATAGCAACCAGAATTTATTGACAGAGAGACAAACATTTGGACAGTAGAATATATCTAGATTATGTTACTTTTTCTCTCCACTAATGTATCTGGTATTGTTTTATATGTAATACAAACTCTTCTCTTGGTAAAATTTTTGTTTACTTGTTTTAAAGTATTATTTGATGAGTTATTCCAAGTGTGATTGGAGGGACAGTGTTAATTTAGCATCTTCATTTGTTATGAAATAACAATAAATATATGACTAGATTATTTTCTCAGAAATTCTTTGCTTACAATATTTTAAAAATTTAGGTCAACTATAGAAGAATGGGTTTATGGGGCCTAGTAGTATCAAAATGGTGAATTTCCTGTAGTACTCAATCTGGCACTTGCACCCATAGTATCTTCTTTTGTTTTCTGATTATTTCATATGTCTCAGTATTATCTTCCAAATGAGATTAGAAATTTATATATACCAAGGACAACATATGATTGATTTTTATCTTTTATCCCAATTCTTGCCACTTTCAAGAATGACCAAAGTTCTGAGAACGACCAAAGTTCTGAGTGAAATAAAATTTTTTAACTTGAAAGGGAAGAACTGTAATCAGGTTAGTTATCCACAAGTCACCATGTTTTCTACCTTGAATTATTTAATTTTAAACCAGTTGTTTTAATGCTGGAAAGATATGCTATATGTACCTTTTCATAATCAGGCTCTTTGGAGTAGATTGTAGGTAACATATTTTATTAGTATTTATTCACATAAATTCTAATTAGACTAACAAAAATAGATGAAAATTTTTATGATATTTCTGTAACTTTGGTAGGATTGAGTATGTTGGTAAAGATGTCATGGGATGAGAGGACACTGCTTTGATATGGAAAAGATTTACTCTTTGTCACTGTCAAATTCAGCACATAAATCATCTCCCAATAGCCCTGGAGAAGTAGTGCCATTCACGTCAAATTATACCTTATGGTTTTCACTGCCTTTCCAAGATGGATGATGAATAGAGGTGAACTATGTGACTGATGTCAGCTAGTAGGTTTTGGCTGATATCAGACGTCCAACTTATATAAGGAAGAGCATGCCATCTTCTTCTGGAGAATCTCAGTGTTGCCTCAACAGTTACGCTTTATACATATACACTTACTCTTTGGTATTACATGCTGAATAACAAGTATGTGAAGATCACACATTTTTGAACTTGGATTTTTTTTTTTTATGTCAATTTTTGCATAGTATAATGCAAGTGCTACTTGCCATATCTGGACCTCTAAGCCTTATTTTCTTACTTTAAGAGGTGAATTTAAAAATCCCTACGGAAGCAAATTAAGCTTTGCAAAAGCAGAAAACTCTGGATCATCAGAGTTAGATGACTTTGGCTCCATGGGTGACTATGATAGTATTTCCCAGCTGATAGTACACCTTTTCAGGAGTTCAAATGCCAATTATTTTTGTGACTTCTTCCAAGTCTGTTAAACACTTCGTACTTCAGTTGTTTCATTTAAATATACACAATGATATTTGAAATTTACTATGTTGCACAGAACTAACACCTTCCGTGAACTTCTAGTAAATATATTTTAATAGTGTTATTAAGGATAATAAAAGTTATTAAAGGAATTAGAGGGTTGTCATTTAGTACTGATGATTAACAATTAACATCAAAAGTCTAATTTGTATGTATCATTAGAAAGAGTCAAAAATTATTACATGTTAATATGAAATGTCATTATTATTTGCCAATAAATAAGGAAAAGTTCTCTTAATTAAAAACAGCATTATTTATGCAAGAAATTGAGCTCTTATTCTGTACTTTTAAAATAAAAGTGTTGCAAAACAAAATTTTGGAAATGACAATTATGTACAATTCCCTGAGATATGTTTTTACTCTGATTTCTTCTTGTGAGTCTTGTAAAATACTGTTCACATTTAAAATCCAAAGTGAAGTGAAAATGATTAAATAGGGTCCTACCTCAGAGTCCTTACTATCTTAAGCTATAAGGAGTAAATGGGAGGTTTTCAGTTTTGCAGCATCAATAAAAGTTTGTTTTTAAATAAATTCAGTATAATGGGACATTTCAGGTCTCCAAAAGACCATAGGAGGGAAAGAAAAGTGACAGGAAGAGAAGTAAATATTCTCTACAAATCAGAAGTTTCAACCATGGAAACAAAAGAATGATACCGGCTACCACGCAAACACACATAAGTGCATAGCCACAGACCATATAAAGCAACTACACATCAAGACAACAAGGCAACTAGCTACCAAGACCACTACAGGAACAAAACCTTACCTATCAATATTAACCTTGAACATAAGCAACCTAAACACTCCACTCTAAAGACCTAGAGTGGTAAATCAAAAAATCAAGACCCAACCTTCTGCTGTGTTCAAAAGACTCATCTCATAAGTAACGACACCCTTAGGCTCAAAGTAAAGGGATACAGAAAGATCTATAACACAAATGGAAAATGAAAAGGAACAGCAATCACTATTCCTATGTAAAATAAAATAGACTGTGAACAAGCAACAGGAAAAAAAAGGATGAAGAATGGCATTAAATGATGGTAAAATGCTCAATTGAACAAGAATATTTCACTATCATAAATAAATATGCACCAAACTTTGGAGCACCCAGATTTGTAAAACAATTACTACTACATCTAAAAAAGACTGACACTCACACGTTAAAAGAGGGGGACTTCAACATGGCACCATCAGCATTTGATAGATCATCAAGGAAGAGAACTCACAAAGAAAATCTGAGCATAAACTTGACAGCTGACAAATTGGAGTTAATAGAAATCTATAGAACACTGCACCCCAAAACCATAGAATATACAAAATTACCATCTGCGTATGGAAGATACTCTGACACATTAAAAAATATTAAAATCATATGAAACATACTCTCAGACTATAGTGGAATAAAAGTACAAACTCATAGCATGATTAACTTTC